GGGGGGGGGTCCCCTGTATGCTTGGCAGCAGATCTGGAAGTGGACCAGAAGTACTTTTGGGTTCACTTCTGGGTCTGCCACTGAGCATGTGGGGGGTCCTCTGTGCTCCTATGGGAAGCTTGATCCATCCCACCACCTCAGCATTCACAAGCCATGCCTGGTACCTCAAGATATGTAGAAAAAAAATATAAAGCCGTGTCTATGGCCGAATCACTGATTCTCCGAATCAGAATCGAATCTTCAGATTCAGATTTGATCGACTCGAATTGGGACAGTGATCTAAATCAGTGAATTGAATCATTGTTCCCCAAATTGGGCTGAATCCAAATCCAGTTGCTGTGCCTGGAAGCAACTTACTCTGGGTCAAACTGCTCCAGTATTTATTGCATCGCATTAATTTCACTTGCAAATATACTTACTGTTTACTTAAAGTCTCAAACAAACTCTTGAAAATATTTTAAGTTGATTAACAATTTATTGAAAAAAAATTTCAAAAAATGTGATTAAATGATACAGAATGTAGCATGATACTGTACTCTGACAAAACTCGCTCTTTGGGCAGCAAGAGGTTTTAGGATTGATTACTGAAACCTAATATTTCCGCATTTAGGGTTCCATGGTTGGATATGGTAGGTCTGCCAGCATTCCCTTGTTTATTCTATTCTTTCCATCCAGGAAGAGCACAAAACAACTGCAGATGCTTCCTGTGCTTGAAGAAGGGTGTTTGTACCCAAAAGCTTGCAAAGAAGAATTTTTCCAAATATTTTAATTCTTAGGCCAATACGGCTACAACCAATACCCCTGAAACATGGAAGATATTGAAACAGGGCCCCAAACAGTTCACCCAGAATCTCTGTCACCCCCCTCTCAGCCTATAGCATATGATTAGTGTGGCTCCACCCTCCATCAGATACAACCACATCTGTGCCTCATCTGCATATACATTTTTGGAGCATCCCACAACTTGTGACAAGAACACCTGGTTTCAGTCATAAAGGAGGGGTATGATAATTAACATGTGGATCCTTTGTGTGGAGTATCTGGAGTACACACATACTGAGCAGTGCTGAGCTATGAGGTCACCACAGCTTGACATGCTGTTGACATTGCTGGGCCCAGTCCAATGAAATATATGGTAAATCATTAGCCTTTTGTCTTTGGATTAATATCATGCATAGTTTGTCCTATATATAAGTAGGTATAAAAACGCTGCTTAAAATGCATTTATGGAGTACCTGTGCTAAAACTTGCAGCAGTTTCAAAAAAGGTAATATGCATCAATATCTGGATGAACTAAGTCTATGGGTACCCATAGTAACTTGTCTACATGTTTATTTCAAAGTCAGTGTTTTCAAGTTTGCCCCTCATTTCAATTTGTTCAAGGAGAGCAGGGTCTGACAATAAGAGAGAGTGGGGGGAGTGGGAAGGAGAGGGGTTGCAGGTGGAAGATGTTGAGGCACAGAAAGCAGGAGGGCCACCTGACCACCACAGATCTATTCCCTCTGCTGTAGCAGTGGGAGGGGAACAAAATCAAGGGAAATCTCCACTAATTAGATTCTATACCTGGAAAATTATAATAAATTCATAAATTTTCTGTGTATAAGATCTAATTATTGGGGGAGGGGAATCTTATATTCAAGGTGATCTTATATTCAAGTAAGTAAGGTAAATCTATCCATTCTGGTGTCAATCAAGTGTCATTAGCTTAATTTGAAAGGCAATAACAGCTCTTGCCTATGAAATTACATTTATTGGCATGGTCAATGCAGTAGCTATCAAGACTATTTTGTGCATTTCAGTTAATGCCACGATTTCCAGGATTTAGGCTATCAAAGCCAGAAATCCTCCATAACTATTACCAATGTAAATAATGACAAACCACAGTCTGTGACTCCTGACATACATCCTTTATCTGTTTCCTCAGGTGAGTTGTTTTTTGTTTTCTATTAATTTTTCATGGCATCTCTATTTTTAAGTTGTATTTCACTAATCACAGTAATTATAGCCTGTATTTTTAGAAATACATTCTATACCGAAGAGCAACTGAAATAGAATTGAGACACTGATATGAATAAGGGCATAAATAGTACGAAAGAAATATGTAGAATTCCCACAAAAAGATGTTACTTCTCATTCAAATTGTATATATGTATTCCCATCAGAAAAGAAGTGATAGACAAGAAAAATTTCTATAATGGAAAATTGAATTAGCAATAACAAATCAGTACATGAAGAAGAACATGAAAAGAACTGAAAAGAACATGAAGGAAGGGAAGAGGAATATGTATTTATTTTTCTGAACATGTTACTAACTTTCTCTTCCTTATTCTAGCATCTCTTACAGATAGGTATGTTACACTCATGATTTGGTTAGGAAATATAAAAAAAGGAAAAATTGTTCACATAATTTCTGCGTGAAGCTTGCATTTTTAATGTAAAAATGTTTTTAAAATCTAGGTTGTCCTACTAGATATTAAAATACCTTGTTACAGATCAAATGAATGACATGGAGACTGAACTTCTTCCTTTTATCTTCAACCATGCAAAAACAACTTTAGGAAGTGGGAATTAGAAATGTGCATTACCAAACTAATAGGATTTACTTATAAAACGTGGTCTTCTTTACATATAAAATGAGTACTCTCTATTAAGAATTAAGTGGAATTTTGTATTTTACAACATTAATTATATTTAAGGCAAATAGCAATTTATGATCAAGAGTGCTTTAAAAGACCAGGAGATTGTTTTTCTATTTATGCACAATATAGTCAGAGGTGGGATGTCTGGCTACAGATTATATCCCAGGTGCCCTCTTGTGGTTTCAGATTTGTAAACTCAACTGTTCTTACATATCTAATATAAATTCATGTATTGTTATGAGGCTAGTAAGACACCAAAACAATGTCAGTCTTTCCACAAAGTAATACTCTGTTTTTACTCTAAACTCCTAATATTATTCAATTGTTTTTCTTTTTTTTCAATAATGATAATGATTCAAGATAATAAGGTAGCGCTAATCATCTGTGGAAGAATCTGATGCTGTTTCTCTCCCACTGATCTCTGGCCTCATAGTCATGCCAGTTCAGAGTGGGAAGAGGTGGGATTTCTCCTTACTAACACAGCAAAAGCAGTTCTAACAAACTGTTATGCTGGATTTAGTTATGCTGGCAAAACTGCTCTTATCAGTTTTGCTTGTTGAGGATAGTTTAACAGTATTGATACAAACAGCACCTCCATCCATTAATATAGTCCCATATCAGTGAAGCAGACCTGATGTAGACCTGGTATGAACTGCTGTCACTACTGTACTGGGTCCTGCAGAATAAACAGAAGCACAGAGGTTTGATGATTGTTTCTTGTAAAATCCCTTGTCCGGCTCAAAAAGCTGCTGAACTAATGTTATATACATGTCAAATCCTAATATGATGCTTCAAAACATGTTGCTGTGACCCAGAGTGAAAAAGGCTACCCAGCATAGCTATTCATGGCCTAAAAGTTGTATTTATAGAACCTGCTGGCAATGACAGGGAGCCACTAACAGATCACTTGCTGATGGCTTCTATTTTCTTAAAAAAGGTTGGGTTATCTTAGAAGTAACTGGAAATGAGGCACCCTAGGTGCCTTCATTAAGAGTTACTACTAATAACGACCAGAGTGAAAAAGGTGATTACCGTAGGGACCAGAGCAACAAATAGAACTGAAACCTCCAGTCAGCAACAAAAAGTGCCAGCAGGAAGGGACCAGGAGCTTCCAGAGTGACTGAATTGGCCGGTCTGAGAAGAACACCCAGAGGGGACATAAGAAAAGAACCAGGTAAGAGGACCAAATGGCAGAATAGCACAAAGATGAGGAGAGAGGAACAGAAGAGCAAGATAAATTACAGAGCACAATCAGATAGTGTGATTAATTTTCCTCAAAGAGGTCATCAAGTCCAGCAAGGAAAAGATTAGGTTTTCAACAAAAATATTATTTGCAAATATTTTCAAATGAAAATATCTCTCCAGTTTGAGCCTGCACTTACCATATGGTGTTAGTATGCTATTCTACACAGTTGTCTGATGTTGAACATTCTCATTTCATGCTTCACATTTTTTACAATTTTCAATGTGCTCTTGTTGAACTTTTTTATTTTAAATATGTAAAAAGATGTTAGGGGCAGGAATGTAGGAGTTCACTTCTAAAACAACATCTGTGTTGTAAATTAGTTTGATAATCCATTTAATAAACAAACTAGACAAATTCATCTAGTAACAATTTTTGTTTTAGTGTAATTGTTTGATGATAGTTTTACCAAATAGTAAATAAATCAGTGTTTTTATAAGAGATAAAAAGAGAGACAGAGAAATGAAGATACTTACACACAGGCAATTAAAAGAATGCAATTTAAAAAATAATACCTTTTTGGCCTTGTTTTTCTTTTCATAAGATTCTGATAATGGTTTTCTCTTTTCCTGAGCAGTGTCTTTGGAGAATAAATATTCAAATTCACTAGTATCAAGTATGTCAGGTTCTTCTAATGAGTCCCATAAAGTTGGTGTAGAAGTTTTGCTAAAAAAGAAAAGGGTAAAATTACAATTTCATCAAATTATAATATCAAATATTTACAAACAGGGCACATCTTCACGTTGCCCTATGGTGATGCAGCAACATGCTATGTCATCATACAGTGGGCTAGGGTGATGTAGCAATCATGTGTGTCTACACACGATTACCAGCTACATCACCATAGTGGCGCGCTGCTATGGTGACATAGTGGTGAAATCTAACCGTGCGCTGTGTGCCTGTGCTGCGCTGTGCTCTAGTACTTCCAAAAGGCAAGTACTAAAGCACGGCATTGTAGCAATGTCACTGTATGGTGATGTGCAGATGTGCCCACAGTATATTCTCTTCAAAAAATTATAAAATGAGAACAATAAGAGAATACAGCTAGCAGATAAACAGCTTTCCCCCTCTCATTTGTTAAGCTGTGTAATATGTCAAAATACTTTACAGGCTGCTGCACTGAATAGGAGAGGCAACCTAGTGAAAAACTGTGTATTCAACCATGTGGGAAAAACTGAAGTATTCAATGCTCTTTTTAACCTCAGTCTTTATAGGCAAGGCCAGCTCCCAGACTACTGAACCTGTCAGCGCAGTTTGAGGAGATGAGCAGCCAACAGCAGTGAAAGAACAGGTTAGGGACTCTTTAGAAAAGCTGGACATATACAAGTCAATGGGGCCAGACATGATGTGCCCAAGGATACTGAGGGAGTTAGCTGCTGGTTATTAACTTTGAAAACTCATGGCAATTGGGAGAGGTCCTGGACAATTGGAAAGGGGCAAATATAGTGCCCATCTTTAAGAAAGGGAAGAAGGGGGATCTGGGGATCTACACACTGACTGGGCAGCCTCATCTCAGTCCCTTGAAAAATCATGCAGCCAGTCCTCAAGGAAGCCATTTCTAGGCAGTTGGAGGAGAAAAAGGTGATTAAGAAGAGTCAGCATGGATTCATCAAGAGCAAGTCATGCCTGACCAACCTCATTACCTTCTATGACATGATGACTGACTCTGTGGATAAGGGGAGAGCAGTGGATGTGGATGTGATGTACCTCGACTTTAGCAAGGCTTTTAACATGGTCTCCCATACCATTCTTACAAGCAAGCTAAGGAAGTATGTTTTGGATGAATGGACTGTAAGGTGGACAAAAAAACTGGCTGGGTCATCAGACTCAATGGCTTGATGTCCAGTTGGCAGCTAGTATCAAGTGGAGTGCACCTCAGGGGTCAGTCCCGAGGCAGGTTTTGTTCAATATCTTCATCAGTGTTCTGGAAGATGGAATGGAGTGCACCCGCAGGAAGTTTGTGCATGGCACCAAGATGGGGGGATTAGTGGATACACTGGAGGGTAGGTCTAGGATCTAGAGAGACCTGAATAAATTGGATAATTGGACCAAAAGAAATCTCATGAAATTCCATAAGGGGAAGTGCACTTAGGATGGAAGAATCCCATGCACCACTACTGGCTGGCGACTGACTGGCTAAGTAGCAGCTCTGCAGAAAAGGACCAGGGGGTTACAGAGGACAACATGCTGACTATGAGCCAACAGTGTGCTCTTGCTGCAAAGAAGGCTAACAGCCTACTGGGCAGCATTAGTAGGAAAGAGAAAGTGATTCTTCCCCTCTATTCAGCATTGGCGAGGCCAGATCAGGAGTACTGTGTCCAGTTTTGGACCCCCACTACAGAAAGGATGTGGACAAATTGGAAAGAGCTCAGCGGAAGGCAGTGGAAATGGTTAGGGGGCTGGAGAACATGGCTTATGAAGAGAGGCTGAGGAAACTGGTTTTATTTAGTCTGGAGAAGAGAAGACTGAGGGAGGATTTAATAATAGCCTTCAACTACCTGAAGGGTGGTTGCAAAGATCATGGAAAAGGACTGTTTTTAGCAGTGGCAGATAACAGAACAAGGAGCAATGGTCTTAATTTGCAGCAAGGGAAGTTTAGGTTAGACATTAGGAAAAACTCTGTCACAAGGAGGGCGGTAAACCCTGGACAGACTGCCCAGAGCGGTTGTGGAATCTCCGTCCTTAGATGTTTTTGAGACCTGGGTAGACAAAGCCTTGGCTGGAATGATAGTCGGGATGGTCCTGCTTTAAGTTATGCTAATAAGCATAAGAACTGTCAGACAGCATTTGCAGATTTTTAAGAAAATTCTCTCTGGCTTGTGACTGCATGCTGCACTAAGGCCATGAATAGGCAGAAAAAACATGCATCTTCTCATAACATTTGGCTTATTAAAAAGATACATATACTGCAAATAATAAAGACATACCATGATGTTGTATCTATTTATCTATAGCCAATAGATATACATTTTAATATAAATGTTACCATTTAGGACTGAGGTTTGTTTATGGTAGGTTGCTGTATAGACAAAGGCCACTGGCAGATGTGAATTTAGTGGTGTAATGAGACCTGATGCATTGTATCACAGGTCCCAAAAATCACAGGTCTTGCCATGACAGGAAAAAGTAACATTAAGCACAGATGTGTCTAGTTCTAGAATCAGGGCCACACTCTGTGATCTGAAGAAAACACAATCTAAAGTGACAAAAATGATAAGAAGAAATGACTGTATGCAGAATTCCCGATCTACAGAAAATTCTGTCATTTCAAGTTTTTACCTCCAGTTCCCCAGCTCCAGCTCTTTCCTAAAACTGTGACTCCTGCTTAAACTGTTCATTGAAGTTTCATCAAGAGAGAAATAGAGAGATACTTCAGTGGAACATTTCATTTGTGAGGAATCAAGATTTTCCAAGTAAAATCTGTTTCTTTGGAAAATTTTTGATCTTCTCTAGTTGCAAGTATCAGTACATAAACAAACGAACTCTTGTTAGATGTTAGATACACCTCCCCTGCTTTTTACTATACTCTATTTATTTACTAGTTTAAAGTTATTATTAAGCCTGATCAATTCATATTTTATTTTCTTCTACCTCATATCTATTAAAATTTTATTTATATTTTTTATTTTGAAATGATTGCTAATGATCTACTTTTGTGATGTTTAAACCTGGGTCTATTTTCTCTCTCTCTAATTTTGCTTTTCTATTTTCTATGGCTCATCATCCCAGTGTCTAAATTGTATCTTTAAGTCTAAAGAAAATACCTTTACCTTCTGTTTTGTATCTGTATCCTGGTCCAGTACAAAGGCTTCATAGGACAGCTAGGTTCAATGGTAGGCTTTCGAGGACCCTGGCTTGAAGATAAAGTGCTATTAAAAAAGAACCCAGTTCCAAGAGGTGGTGGTGGAGGAGGTAGCCCACAGCCAGGCAATGGAGGTGGACCAGGAGGCTCAAATCCCAGAGGTGGTGGTGGTGGTGGCAGTCCTTGAAGATTCTCATAACCTGAGGGAAGTGGAGGAGGTGGTGGTGGGTCAGATCCATACTGGGATATCAGTGGAAAGGTTCTCAAGCCTGGTGGCAATGGAGGTGGTGGAGGGACTAAATTTGGTGCTGGAGATTCGGGAGGAGGGGGAAGTGGTGGTGGCGGAGGCGGAGGTGGTGGTGGTGGTAGCGGCAATGTTTGTTTTGGTTGACAAGATAAAACACTTTCTGGAGATGTCATAGGATAACATGTTTCCTTATTGTCACTTTGGGCTGAAATATTATGATTTAAAGACGATAAATTAAGTTTTTTAGGTACTATTTGGTTATTCTTCACAATTCTGTTTTCCTCTTCACTAGACTTTATGAAGGTTTCTCTGTCAGTCTGTATACAAACATTTCTGTAAGTCTTTGGTGGGTTCTCATCTTCAGTGGATACACAGACATCCTTTGCTTTCTCACTTCCTTTATTTAATTTATTTTCCAGTTCATTCTTGAGATTTTCAATGGCTTCCTCAAGCTTTGCAGTTGATAAAGCATGCTCTCCACGAATGTGGAAGACCCTGAGTTCAGACTGAGACTGTGAAAAAATAATGAAAACTTTATGTTAAAAGCTGTATATAATTAGGTCACAGTTAAGGATGTGGCACATGTTGTAGTAACACATGGGCAGGAAGATATCAGCGCTTTCCAAGTTCTACATGACTTTTGCTTTATCTAGGAAAATTCATTAGATGTTTAATGAAACTGATAAGAAAAATAATTTTTCTTCAGTGAAGCATATTTCATAGATAATATTGATT